ATCGTTCTATTGATTTGCTCTGTATGTTCACCCTGTTGAAAATATTTAATGTCATCTTTGCAAAGAAATAGCTTCAGAGCTAGAAAATAAAGCTGGTGTGGTATTTCTACCAAGTGTTGCAGACGTCAGTGGGTTTCTATTTCAATATTAAATAAAAGGGGAAATGATCTTATTGTAGTGACTGTATTTACATTATATTGTTTTTTATAAAGGTTACAAGCTTGACAAGAAGAGTAATATATAAATTAGGTATTGGCCTTTGTTTTATCATTTACTTTCTCATATGCAAAAGACTTGACAAAGGCTTTATGTTTCTTTTTTCTTCCTCTTTTGAATAAAATGTGCTTCCTTTAGTCACAGCAAAGAAGCTGCTATAAGAAGCCTTGTTTGTTCTTGGTTGTCAGAGTTTCTCTACACTCTCTTGCCAGTCTCTGTGATCCTCCTGTGGCTGTATTTGAAAGATGTAGATCCTTTAGCTTTGCTCCAGAGTCACAGAGGTAATCCATTCCAAACAAAACAATTATGTGTTATGTGCAACCATCCTGTTGTTCTTGACTAACCTGAGGAGCAACGTCTGTTCTGTTATAAAATATAATTCTCTGTAGCTGCGGGAAACGTATGTAAAAGGAAATCGTCATCCTGCGTATAATTGAGATGTTTCACACAATAATAAGAAAATAACACAACTAATAAAGCAAATATCAAACACACCCACACATAGAAAATGTTTCTGTTGTTGGCTAGCTGATACAGATGTAAAGAGAGGCAGTAAAAATGCAGCACACAGAATAAACTTTCAAGTTTTCCAGCTCAAGCTCATGACACCAAACACTTAATTCCTTTTTGCCTTATGGGCTCACATCATTGTAACAGCTATATATTGAAGGGACTTATTGTTTGCAATTTAAGAATCTTTCTGGTATCTGTTTTTAATTGTCATAGAAAGGAGATTGGTAGCAGGTGTTGAGGAGGAAGTAGGCCAACTGCATTTCTCAAGGAGGCAGGCACACAGACTAGAAACCATAATCCCTCTTCCTCCCTTGTATCAGGGTGATCTGAGGCTCATATGGGGGAAGAGGATGAGGGGATTGGGTTTTCAGTGTTGACTCTTCTATTGAGCTTTCAACAAGCCAATGATGGTGATGGCAGAGCGAGAAGAGGGGGCATTAAGTGTCCATGGTTGCTGCATGTAGTTTCCAGTGACAGCACTCGAGATTTATAGAGATCTCCTGATGGCGGCGTCAAAGAGCAGAATGACATTAGTCCTTCCAGTCATGTATCCATTGTAATCATTACACCAACCTTTATGTTTTATTATTATAATAATGTCTGTGCTATCAGTGTTTTTGTCCTTTGATCTGAGTCTAATCTGTTTTCAATTCTGATGAAAAATTCAGTAGTAAAAACAAAGAAGAAAATGCACAAAAAAGAGACTGCATTTTGCTTTGGTATTAAAGGACCAATACTGGTGTTTTTGTACATTTACTACAAGTTATATATACTTTACTCACCATTTTCCAAGGCATTTTGTTGTGTTTTATATTTGTCAGGGTGCTTTTTTCTGTACTTAGATGCATCCATTTGTTTTATTTCCCTATGGAATAAACATTTACACTGATTTAAAACTTGCTTGAGTGAAGTAAACCATTGTTGTGTCTGCTTTTGCTGTTGTAGCAAGTTATAATTTCATGGCAATAGGGATGGAAATGCAGATTACTTTACTGCTATAACATGCAACAATAACTGAACTTACATCTTAGACTTAGATTTTCAGCATGGATTACCCATCATCAATCCAAGATCACATAATGCATAAATGAATGGCTCACTGTCTGCCTGTGAGAACTATTTGTAAAATGGTTAATGTAATCTAAATAGGATAAAACATACACAAATACTGGAATGGTCCTTTAAAGTTATTGTGGAAGTTAGTTTATTGAATAGGAGGCTCTGCAGAAAATAAAATGCTGAATATGTCTGAAACTTTCTTTGTTGGAAACTTACTTTCTGCTCAACTGAAACAGCTGTTTGCAGCTATACACAGGAGCACATCGAGCAGCAATGAATATGAAACGCACAGCTTAGCAAAATCATGCAACCAAAGTTGGTATTTCTGGAGCGGAACGCCCCGAGTAATTCTCTCCAGTGTGACTGAAAATTTAGACCTTCATTGTGGAAAATCGGTTAATCTGGCCTATATCTGCAATGAAAAATCCTCGAATCCAGTGGAAGTCGGTGTAACTGTGCGAATTTGATTCACATCTCAAGATGAGCTCAGCACAACGCCTTGAAAGGCATTGCATGAGCAGCTGGAAAGCAATAAAATTGGGGGGATTTACTGTATTTATGCATGCCATTGTGATCAAAAGGACTCATTATAAGAACTGGAAAGGTTCTAAGAAAAAAAAAAAAAAACAGTGAGTGTTGGCGCGTGGTAGGGGGGAAGGGTGGAGGTGGGCTATGTACATACATTAAAGGGCTGCAGGTATAAAGAAGTGCACAGGGCACACTCTCTCCACACTCTCATACTTGTGTTGTATCGGCCCTTACAGCGTGTGGAGCTGCTGAACTGGGACTGTGCAGTGTGTTTGCGTTTGTGTGTCCAGTTCCTCTCCAGCCCTTCGCTCTCCTCTCCTTGCTATGGTTGTCCACATACGCGGTTGTAATTTCAGCACCACAGACAGCTCTCTGTCCAGCTCCAGCCTCAGCACTGACGCCTCCACCCTGTGGGACTCCCCGGCGCCCCAAAGCCCCGGCGGGCTGAGCCGGACCGGCCACACGGTGGTGGCAGTATGCCTCGGCTTCATTTTAGTGGCGGGGATCCTCAGCAACTTCTTTGTTCTTCTTGTGTTCGCAAAGTTTCGCTCCCTGTGGACACCTATCAATCTCATCCTGTTGAACATCAGTCTGAGCGACATCCTCGTGTGCGTCTTCGGGACACCTTTCAGTTTCGCTGCGAGTCTGCACGGGAGGTGGCTCTTCGGGGACCACGGCTGTAGGTGGTACGGGTTCGCCAATTCCCTCTTTGGTGAGTGACATAAATATAAATATGTAACTTTTTATGGTCTTTACTTCTTGTTTTACACCCACGTGCGTTGAATGTGGGACGTTTTGTGATGATTTATGAAAGTTAAGTGACAGGTAACCTATTTGAAGATATTGGATAATCTGAAATCTGGACCTGATGATGGCGCAATATTAAGAAGTCAAGTAATCACCAAAGTTAATAAAGGTCATCCCGAGGGGAGCATGAATGTCTGAACCAAATTGCCTGACAGATAATAAAGTGTTTTCTCTTTCTCAAAACTACAGATTTACCAAAATCATTCAGGATTCAGTAAAAGAAGAAATAAACCCACCCACATTCAGGTGAACCGAAGTTAGTCACAGAACTGGTCTTCTATGAGTCAGTAATGTTTTTACTGTCGTTTCTGAGACCACATTCAGTACCTCCCTGTCTGAGGTCTGTTAGGATTGACAGCAGAAAGGAGGCACATGCTTACATAATGTTATATGACGGTCACATACAATGCGGGTCATTGGGAGGGTCCTGACACATAGAATTAAAGTAAATACTTTTTGTCGAAAGACAGTTTTCCTCTATACAGTAAAAATAACAAAAAGCACACATTAGTAGTGACATTACAAATTCTGCTGAAAATATTACCTATCATTCTAAAGCATCTACTTTCACCATTTTCATTTAAAATGTTAATGATTTCTTCACTTAAAGCTGCAGTAGGTAACCTTTATAAAAATATATTTTTTGCCCTATTTGCTAAAACTTTCATTATATCCTGACAGTACATGAGACAGATAATCTATAAAAAATATCAGGTTCCTCTGGTTCCTCCTAGTGCTCCTAAATGCATTTGCAAGAATCCACTGGGCCTGAACAAAAAACAACCAATCAGAGCTGAAAAAGATAGCTGATTGTTGAGTATTATTCTCAGTTTGTCAAATAAAGACATATTTGATGATTTGATAGGCCGATTATTCTGTAGCTACTATAACTGTTATGTATCCTTTCCTAAATTTCCTTAGTCACCATTGTCTTTTCTAAATCTTAACACATTTCTCCTGTCCTAAATGACAGCAAATATAAATAAAAACCAGTACTGACTTAAATTAAATAATTATATTATGTTATTATGTATAGAATAATGCAGTTGACTGTCTCTTTTCACATACTCCCTGAAATACCAATAACTTCTGAAATTTACAGAATAAGCCAACATACCTTTTTATTTCATTAATCAATAAAGATTAGATTGTAACGTGCATGAAATAATGACTTTTCTTTGTTTGATATTGGTATTACATATCGACCACTGGCTGCCCAGTTCTCAAAATATCAGCATTAGCATCGGCCTTTGAAAAACCTGTATCGGTAGACAACTATTAATTAGTTTAAGAAATTCATAGCTGCTCTCTTCCCAGTAATTATTTTGTTATAAATGGTTTCACACTTTTGGACAAGGTAAAGGCTTCACACCTCATTTACACTGAATTAAGTCTTATATCTACTTTGTGTCTTCTCCTCTTGTGCTCTTTAAGGGATTGTGTCCCTGGTGTCCCTGTCTGTTCTCTCCTATGAGCGTTACACCACCGTGCTGCGTTGCTCAAAGGTTGACATCTCAGACTTCAGGAAGGCTTGGTTCTGCGTTGGAGGCTCCTGGCTCTACTCTCTCCTCTGGACGCTGCCGCCCTTCCTGGGTTGGAGCAGCTACGGGCCTGAGGGACCCGGTACCACATGCTCTGTCCAGTGGCACCTGCGCTCACCCACCAGCATCTCATATGTGTTGTGTCTCTTTATCTTCTGTCTGCTGCTGCCCCTTCTACTCATGGTCTACTCTTATGGCCGGATCCTGGTTGCAATCAAGAGGGTGAGTTCAAACTAATCTGTCATCAAGACATGTTGTCTTGACAGCATTTGTGAGTTGAATGTGTCTGACACAGGACTAGAAAACACCAGATACAGTATAATGTTTACACCTCAATTAATGAAAACTATTTTGATTCACATATTCATTGATTTTAAGGTTTTTCTTAACTATTAACTAGTTCTTTATTATAAAAATACACAATGTTTAATAAATAGATTTTTCCACAGTATGTTTTAGAGGGCACACAAACACAAGATGAAAACAACATAAAAGAAAACACATATATATAAGCACATTATTTCTCATTTATATAAGTAAAAATGGGAACACCCTTTTACCTAAGGAGACTGAACAGTAGATGGCAGCTCAGAGTTGAGAGTTTTAATCTAAATTTAGATACCTGTGTCAATAATATGCAGACCATGTCTGTCTTTGCTGACAATTAGGAAATGTGTTTCCATTATCTCTGTCATTCCTGAACTAGGGTTTCACAGTAAATCCACACTGAATGTGATGAGAGGCTTTACTTTCTGTTTCCATTAGAATTCATGTGTTCCCCTTTTTAAGTCATCAGTGGTTCACTTGTCCCTCTTTCTTCGTGATATAATTATTCCACCAAAATATGTGCAAATCTAGCACTGCTATTGTATTTGATATGGCTGGACACATTGTATCATCATTGACATTATTCTCTGACAGTAAACAGTACAAGCATGAACAAAGGTTCATATTTACATGTATAGAGCTGTAATTTTCTGGATAATGTGCTCAAAGTGCTGCCTTTCACCATGTCCATCTGTTCAGCTATGAAGCCTTAATAACTCTGCTAAAGTGGCCGCCGTTGTGGTTCTTGACCCCGTTGTCAAGGTGTTCTTTGCACATGAGATTGTGGTTCAGAGGTTGACATTTGCCAGACTCCTACTAACACTTGGTCATGTGTTTCAAAGGTAATTTTGAGGAGCATCAAGCCAGATAATCCCAGAAGCCACAGCTCTGTTTTAACAATCTTACAATCAATGTATCCAGCAGGCGAAGGAATGAGAGGCAATGTCTTCAGGGGACTGTATGGTGTGCATCTGGGCTGGCAATGACCACCTCTCTGTTTCCAGTGACTCATCCCAAGCCTGGTGGGGCTTACGTAAACCTACTAATTGATAATTAAGGGCTCCCAGTCACTCATTCATGCACTTTGTAACTACTACACCTATCAATGAATCACCCAGGAGGTATTTTTAGATTGTGGAAGCAACCTGTTACTATTGGATACCTGCCATTATACAACCACCTCCATTTTTTCCCCCAACTCTGTGTACCTGATGGAGTCAGAGCCAAGAAGGGCTTTGCAGACTTGATTATTGTTACAGCGAATGGGGGGTCAGCCGCACACCAGTCGCCCTCCAACTGAAAGCCCCGCCTTAGGCTTTTCTTAGAAACTGAGCAATCAGTCTGCGGATCATTCTGCTGGCTTAAACTGACACGTCAGAAAGTGAGATGACATTTATATCAACAGCATCAGTGTGGCTCAAGCTTGGATTTCTATTATCTCTGCATGACAGCATCACATCTTCACCATTCCATAAATGATGCCGTCTATAAAGTTTCTTCTATGAAGTCACAGATTTACTGATCCATAACTGTACTTGAATTGACAATGGGCATATTTCCTAACACAAATATATATATATATATATTTTTTGTTTTTTGTTTTGTTTTTTTTGTTAAAAGACTGAAAAATATTTTGATTTATTTGTTGGAGCACAATTCTGCAGTGCTCCTTGGGTTTATCTGTCATATTTTAGTCTCTCTGTTCAGATAAGACCGAAACATGCATTACATTTTCAGTTGCCAGTGTCATCTAGCTGTAACGCTTGACAGATTTCCAAGTCAGTAATATTCAAAACAGAACAAAAGTTCAGTCATGCAGATGTGCATTCTGGGTGGACATTATCAGAGTAGTTATTACATTTAAGAGAAAGAGCAACAGCGGTTATGACCAAATATCATAGAAGGTGAAGTGTAATTGAGTGTGTGAGAGATGTGCAGTAATTTGACAGAAAGGACAGGATCTTCTCTTCTGGAGTACCAGGCAGACACCCTCATTTATTCGTGAAACAACGTGATGAGCATGAGAGTGGTAATTACACAATTACACAAGACGATGACCACAGGGGTATGAAATCAATACTGAGGAGGTGACAATCACCACTCGGTTTATGATGCATCTGGGATAATTTTAGCTCCCTGCAGAAGCCAGCAGCAGGGATGGATGTAATGAAACATGTTGAAGTATGTATAGTGGCCTTACAGCTGCTGGCCACACTTTAGTATATTTTAATGACTGTTTCTATGGTTACTGTGACATAACCATTACTGAGCAGTCATTCACATGTTATACTACAAGTCGGTTTCGACGATTTTCACCACTTTGTTACCTTGATACATACATAATAATTATTGTACAGCAATTTTGAAACATTATTTCGTCCCTGAAACAGCGAGGGAACAATAAATGAACATAAAAAGACATAACAACATAAAATTGTTGGCTTTTCAATACACAAAAGAATTCTGTCTCAAAGAACTTGCCCCGAGTTTGAGCCTTTTTAGATATTAAGGTGATCCTCTGATTTTACACATTAAATGTACTACAAGGAGTTTATTTCAATTTAATATTAATGCCTTTATATGACCTACATAAACAAACAAGACCATCAACGATGCTAGGCTTAATAAAGACATGTTATGTTTGACCCCCACATTATGAAAGTACCCCTTTACCGCACTATATGTTGAGTTAGTCTAATTGTATTGGATCTTAGTGTATGCATTGAATTGGATCTATTCCCCGAAATATTTACATGTATGTTTCCATTAATCACCTGAAACTAAGACTCGTCTGTCTTTGTAACCTTAGAATCTGTTTTTGTCGCTTTCCATGGAGGTAGTTTCTCCTTTACACTTGGAAAGGGAGGGTGAAGGCCGCTAGATGACACAAAATCCTACACACTGTGTGTCACAGTGTCTTTTTTGATACTACCACTGGATGGCACTAAAGAAATAAATGTTTGATTACTACACATAGTGGGTTTCTGTTTTCAATCACAGAACAAACTGAGGATATCCAAATAACACAGAAATGCATGAGGGAGAAGGCATGAAAAACCTACCACCTACTTTAGAACCTCAGACATCATGTGTTGCAAATGAAACTAACTTGATCCATGCCTTTTCTTTAGCTGTAACTCAACATTATAAAATACTTGTCAAGACAGATTTAACCTCCTCTGTACCTCTTTCCTGCTCTCTCATGTCTCCAGGTGGGTAAGATCAATCTGCTGGCAGCTCAGCGCAGAGAACATCACATTTTGGTGATGGTGTTGGCCATGGTGTCCTGCTACATGCTGTGCTGGATGCCCTACGGTGTCATGGCACTGATGGCCACCTTCGGTAGGTCGGGACTTGTCACTCCCATTGCAAGCGTGGTGCCCTCCGTCCTGGCCAAGTTTGGCACCGTCGTCAACCCCGTCATCTACGTGTTTCTCAATAACCAGGTGAGAGCCGAGCGCTGATGAATGATGACCCAAGGTTGCTTTTTTTTTATAGCATTTGTTACTAGATTGAAGTAAGTTATGTAAGATCTGTTGGTTGAAGTGCATATGACTGCTCAGTGGGGAGGCGTGGGGAGTGTTTCATCTGTAGATGGGAACTCAATGGCACCCAAGGCCTCTGCGACACTGAGGATGCAGCACAGTCACTGTCAGCTTGGTGTCTTTTGACCTGTAAATGACCACATTCATGTTTACAGGAAATGACCATATGTGTTGTACTTTTACACAGTTTTATAGATGCTTTGTGGCCTTTGCGAAGTGCAACACAGAGCCGCAGTCTGTTCAAGGAGAGGAACACCCAACTCGAAGGACACAGTACTCTGGCAACTTCCCCGTCCACAGACAAACCTCCCTCAGCTCTTCACAACCTCCAATCCTCAGCAGTTGCAGAAGTGCTGCCTTGTGCAGCCTGCCCAATGACTGCCGTACTCTTGTTGTCCACTACACTCCATAAAAGCTTTTTATCATTTAATCTGACAGACTGTGAAAGTTAAAACAAATGTTTCTGAATTATCGTCTAGAATCCAAAGTGCAGGTAAAGGACCTCAACACATCTCTCAACACCCTGCTATTGATTTTACATATGAAGATGAATGTCACTGGCAGCTCTTTTGTAACATTTGAATGTAAACTCAGTGCCATGTAGTTCAGCATGCTTTAATGCATATATTTAATTTGGCAAGTGTCAGTGTATATGTTTTGAATGAATGCTATGAAAATACATGTATGTGTTCGCTACAGGTTTACCAAGCAGCCCTCTGTACTCTGAGAGACTCAGAGCACATACATCCAGATGCATATAAAAATCACAAATCAATGAATGTCTTTCGTGGTTTACATAAAAACAATGTCTATTCCCATTTATCACAAGTGTTTTTGATTTTGAAGTTGTTGTTTTTATTGTGTCTTGATCTTATGAAACAGGAGTATTGAATTCAACATAACATAGTTATTAATACAATATAATGCTGTGTTATATGGTGATATGTAATGTAACACACAGATATACTGATACAATTTCAAGAAGATAACTTTATACTATTAATTAAATGATCACATTGTTTGGCAAAAGTTAAGACAACAAAGTAGAAAACTGATTATTATACCTAATGTATAATCAGTGTATTTGTACATATAAATACTCTGTATGTGTATATTTACACTATTATAGAAAAATAATGAGCCTACCTTTCTTAACAATTTTACAAAGTGCTTTACAAAAATAAATAACTAAACTAGGATAAACACAATAACATTAAGAATAAGGAATAAATAGAAATAAAAACAGTATAAATAAAAAACACACCAATCATTTTCAAAAGCTTTCACAATCATCTTCACTATCTGTCTGTCTGTCTGTCTGTCTGTCTGTCTGTCTGTTGCTACAGTGCAGGACTGACAAACAACCTATTATGCAATCTCATACAGGAAAAACCATCGCTTGACAACAACGTAGTCACATCTGCTAAGTTGCAAGCCAAGTTTCTATGCAATGCTCTGCGGCCTACTGTGGGAATATGCCACACAAAAGACGTTTCACATTAGCCTAAACTGACTGTGCGGGCACAGCTTAAAACATTAGTGGGTCTCTACCACAACCAAGCAGAGCTTACATATACTGCGGTTGTTACCAAAGTTAGTTAGGTAAGACTTCATCATGGGTCTGAGTAAAGAAGTTGAATTGAGTTCAGCAAAGCTTTCAGTAGGCAATATTTATCTAGAATTTGGCCATTGCTTGTTAAAAGGACAATGTGTAGGAAATGTGTTATTTCCTGCTTCTGATGTGACTCTTCATATCAATGTCTCATATCTATTTGTTGCTGTGGTCATTTGTGTTGACTCCAGCTGTCTCAGAAAATACCCAGCAACAAAACTGAATGTGTAATTGCATAGGTGTTTTCCAATATCACCTATACTAATACAAATACTATTATAGTGCTATATGTCACACTAAATTACATACTAAACCTCATCTGAATTTGTTTTTCACAGGCCAAAAAGAGAGGTTTTGCCACTTTGACATAGAAATATTGAGTAGTACATGGCCACATGTCATCGTGTGGCATTTAGGAACATATATGACAGAAAGGAAGGAGAAAGTGCCAAAAGGCAATTTTGACATCACACACACACACATTCACACGTGTACAAATAAAGGTCACGTCTCTCACAGATCTGCCTGTTGAAGAGTTAAAAGCTTCCAGGAAGTAGCAAGAAAAAAAACTCAGCTGCTTAGAGAGTACCCGTTCAGAAGTGCATGGCATGTCAGGGACGCCAGGCCTCTCTAGGTTTTGCCACTCCACTCCACCATGATCAACACTTACCAGACCAGCCTGGCTCCTCCGCCGGTGCCTCCACGCCACAGCAGGTCTCACCCGGTCCTCATCCCGGCTCCACTTCCATCACAAGGCCACAGCAAGTCTCTCCTCAGGTTTTTGGTTGGCGCAGTGTTGCTGCATATATTCCTGTCAGTCGGAGGATTCATCTATCTGTACCACAATGGCAAAATGGTAAAAAAATGTCTATTATACATTAGAATATTAAGTACAGTTTAGATGTACAAATAGTTGGTGGCACTGCTGCTTGTATCAGTACAGTATTTATTCAGTAATCTTTCAAGAGTAGTTAAAATATTTCACTTTGCACCTACTTTATAAAAGTGTTTGCTTAAAGAAAAATTACATATTATTATTAAAAATGAGAAATAGAATACAACAACATAGATTGAAAATATTGAAATAGATCTGTGTACAGTGAATCTTCTGATGGTTCACATATTTTCTGCTCTATGCAAAAATATAACCGTCAAGTCAATGAAACCGTGCTTGAAGCACAGGAAATGCTTTTGAAAAAACAGATGAGGTATAATATTTATAGCACACTGTGTTGTCTTGTCACAAGATGAGCATTGTGTAAACATAGAAAGATATTTATAAGGTGTCATAAGAAAATATACATTAACAAATTGTTCTACTTGTTCCTGATATTCTACTTTTCTTCATTACGTAGGGCCTACAGGGAAGACTTTCCTCAGCAGAAGGAACTGGTACATTCATTTTATTTATTTCTTCCTGAAAGCCATATTGTAAATTAAATTGCATACAATAATCCAGTCTCAACAGAGTCTCTGACCAGATGTTTGTTCTTTTTTTCAGCGGCTCAGCTTTCATCAGAAAAGCAGGAAACTTCCTCTAAAATCTTGGCACGCATGGTAGTTGAGCAGCGCCCACATACACCAGCACAGCTTCCGACACGTAAGAAACTATGAATATATATTGGATTTTGGACTTTTTAAAAATGCAATAATTAATAGACAAAAATCTGTTTGGCAGTAAAGTGTCCTCAATAATGTTTCTTAAACATCTCTCCTTGTCTCTCCAGCGGGTTATCTCCCGTGGGACATGAAGCACTCAGTTCTTAGGGACATCAACTACTACCGCAGAAGTTGGTTGACTATCCTGCAGCCTGGTGACTACTACGTCTACTCCAGGGTGACCTTCTCCAAGGGCGACTCTCAGAGGCCGCTGGCCAGCATAGTCAAGCTGAGGGAGAATGAGACAGGAGAGGAGAAGACTGTGATGCAAGCATTCTGCAACCTGAATGACAAGAGTGGGTCAATCAGGTGCACAGCCTCGCAGGGAGATGTGATCACACTGAAGAAAGGAAACCAGCTCAGTGTCTGGGTACAAGACCTTTCACTGGTGAACTACGAGGAAGGAGCCACAACATTTGGGATGTACAAACTGTAGGACTATATAAGCACATACATGGACCTAAGCTGAAAAGTGGGAACTCATTAAGTGGATGGAAGCCACTGAGAACACAGTATACTGGATAAGTAATCAAACTAATTGTTTCTGGTCTTTGTTAATCAGAGACAAAGACCACATTCCTAAACTATAATTTATTAAATCAGATAAAATGTTTGTGTTTTTTTGTGGTAGTATTGTGAATGGTTAGTGTATTTATTAATGTAAATGAGAATGTGTGGCTGTGAAATGAAACTCGATATTTAATCCAAAACATTTCTTCTCTTCTCAGTTTGTCTTGCATCTGACTCATTTTCAGGAGTTAGTTAGACCCAAAGGATATTCACACATAAGACACACATATTTGAATGTTTTTAAGTGTTGCATTACACAGCTTATCTGTGTGCATGTCCAAGTATGGGGCACATCTGCATGAAAATGCAGAAGATCTTAAATGGTATAAAGGTAAGACATGCAGCATTGAGATGCTCCATAATTCAGAATTATGATCAAACTTAAATTTGCTCTAAAGCACAAAAACCCACTGCGGCAGTGTTTCAGGCTCTACCACAATGGTTTTAAATTTCTAGGACACAGAACATACTTAGCGAAGATGCATTTCCTCATGATGGTAAGCCACAAAAAACATCAACAGATGTAGGTTACCACTCAAGAAGAGCAATTAGACATATATCATCATCATTTTGATGAAGTATCTAAAGAATATGAATCCAATTACATGGTGTTTTTAGGGGTACAAGAAAGATCGTAAAGGAAATATTTGATTATTTTAAGGACTACAAAGGGAGCTACAGATTTTCCACTTTTGTGTTTTTCCTTCCTTCCAGGATGCCATTGGTTCCAGTTCATTTCCATATGGCCTATGAATCATTTATCAAATCCTCGAAATGTATCTGAGATGTGTAATCCATCACAGTAAACTTAAAGTTTTTATTCCTGTTCATTATTACCATGACGTGATACAGTTTAAATGATTTAAACATAAAACATAAAATATTGACACACAATTGTGGTCATAGCATTCACTGATATGTCTTGCTAGAGTTGCGTAATATAAGTGTCTGCCTTTTTCATACTGTATAAGGAAAAATACATTCAAAAAGCTGAAATACTACTAGCTGAAACATGGTTTAAAATATATCAGTAATGTCAAGTATTCAGGATTTGTAGTAAATAGGCTAAAACATTAAAAGTCACTTTAATTGTCCTGTTAAAACACACATGTATAGATTAGACCTTGACCTAGTTTTTTTTTATTGAAACACCGAATGCATGAGTTATATCTACGTTTAACCTGCTTTGTGACTAGGTTTTAAATATACTTGGTGAGTAATATAAAAAAATGTCTACCCACCAACCCATCAAAAGCAAAATGCAACGCAGTTAGCACCTGAGACATAACAAAACCTAACAGCGAATTTCACATCACTGTCGTGGTGGAGCTGAACAGTGGAAAGTGTGAATCTTTATGGAGGTGTGTACAGATGCAGGCAGCACACCCTCACAGGATGTCATCTATGCTAGTCACCTTCCGTTCTGTAAAGGGGTTTCTTGCTACCGAATCTAAACAACCTACAAATTCCTGAACTGTACAGAGCAGAGTGCTGCATGGAAAAGCCTGTCTTAGTGGATTTTCCAGTTTAAATAAGGGAAAGTGCAGTCTATGCGGTGTGGTTTTCCATTTCTCACTTGGTGGAATTGAGGTAAAAAGCTAAACTCGAGTTATTATATTAAATTTTTAATAAAAGAATGACCATACCAAACACAAAGTACAGAGTGTCTAGAAAAACAAAGCATTACAATACTTGCAACAACAATAATTGCATAGAACAACCTCTCAAAAACAATACACAGTGGTTTGGAGACAAGATAAACAAGATGAAACCGGAGTTCAACCCCCCTCCCACCAGTAAGTGCTCAGTGAGGATTTTGGGAATTGAAAACTAGAGTATGTGGTACTTAATGAAAACAATTTAGATCACGGGAACAGCAATAATATTAATTTCAACAGCGAACATATGTTGAGACAGTCACACATGTGTACAGGAAGCAGACTCTCTGTAAGCATCCCAATAGGAATAGCAACTAAAAGGTCAGCACCTGAGCAAGCAGTTATTCCTCGCTGAAGTGCCCTTGAGCAAGACACTGACTCTGCCGCAGATGTGTTAGTGCTGCCTTGTACCCTGCACAGTGCTCTGACCTCCTTGTAATAGAGGTGCACTCAAAAACTGCACTTCGCAGACAAGGATTGTACAGTATTACAATATTATTACATTTTGCATCATTTGTGATGGAAATTAGGACCTGGTCAGTGACCTTTAAACAATCATCAATACCAAGAGACTTGATTAAATAAAAGGCAAATGGGAAACTACGAACAGCCTAACGGTGTGGTGGCTGAACCACATGGTCTTGGCCCTTTTTGGTTAATAAATTGGGTTAATTCATTCATTATTATTGCAATTTCTCCAGATCTGGCCCACCATGCCGAGTCTAACCCAGAGGTCAGCCAGTAAAGCTTATTGCATTTCACTTGCATCTACTGCTGCTCTGCGGTGCAGCAAGAGTAGATAACAGTGTTGACAGTGCACACACACTAAACCTCATGAGGAAATGTACCGCTGTGGGTCCTTAAATAGCATTCAAAGCCCTGTATGTTATTCAGACCCGATATACATACCCTACAGAGCCATTCTTCTTGAAATATTACAACAAACCATCTGTGACACTTTCAATATCATAAATCATGCATTTAGTCCCAGTTTGGTCTTAAACTCTTTTTTAAAGTTTATTGACCCCTTCGGGAGGCACTTAAACAGTTGAGCTCTACTCTACACCCACAAATAAATCTGCCTCTGTTTATTTCCTTAGTCTGTATCCATCAGCTCTGCGGGAGCCTGCTGAGAGGCTGCAAACAAAAACCTCTGAATTCTCATTCTGACTCATTATTAAATTTCATAATTCTTCCTCTTTTGTGATGGAAAAAAAAATGTCCCTTGGCCAAAACAAGGATATTTGTTTCTGTCTTTACACATCAGTGTAGTTTCATAAAATTCCAGACTGATGTAAAGGCAGCAAAACTATATCTATAAGGCTAAAATCACAATTAAATGCTTGGGTGAACAATAAATAAAGATAAAAAAAAAAAAAAGGAAATCCAAAATAAAGCAAGGCTATGTAATTAATATGTTAAAATGATACTTGAATACATTTTAGTTAGAAGTAGAGTAGGGTTGACATCTTTGTCATTATTTGCATACTCTTGTATAATAAATGATACATAGTTTAGCTTTTTCTATTCTATTATGCAGCTGCATCCCTGATAGCTTTGGACTATATATCTTGATTATCACATTTCTGATGCAGAATTCATACTGTAAAAACACTGTACATTCATGCAGTTAAATAAACAGTGAAGGGCTGCAATTGGAAACAACTGAAGGATGAGCTAACCTGTTTGGATTGTTTAAACACCAACAAAAACAGCCTGGAAACTTGAATTATGAATGTCTAGAATCTTACAAAAATGCACAAGCTCATGAAAGCTCAATTAATTAATTTCCCAACTGGGCGTCTTTGTGACAAAGTCATGATGTGAAGGGAAGAAAATAAGTCTGCTGTGTAACAGAAGTGCATGCAGGAGAACACCTATTGGACTTGGATGGCTTTGTACTCCTTTTCTATTTCCAACAGAAGCGAAAGAAGCAGCAGAGAACTTGTTTTGTTCTTGTCTAAAATTGTTGCGTTTGCTGGGGAGTGTTCACAGTGCCAGTCGCCAAGAGGCCGCATGTTTTGACAAACGTGATCAGTCTTAGTTTAGCTGAGCTGCTTCATGAAGAGGCATATGTGTGGTCTCATCTAGTGAGGCTGGATCAGGAAGACAGAGTAAGATTTCATCGAAATGTCACATCGAGCTCCAGCACTTGAAGCGAAGAAACTCCCAAGCATCATCGTCAGAGAGGCAGGTCCAACTCTGCTATGCGTGATTGAAATATGAAGACAAGATATGGATAGACAAATACACACACATACACACCTGACCCCTCCACAAGCATGCATACATAAATGTACCCATACATACATATACACACACACACACACACACACACACACACACAGCCACACTAGAATGAGGATGGTCGTATGGATGTGTTCAGTGGCTGCCGTCATCCCAAGTACAATCATTCTTCTGCTTGGCCAGTTTTCGAACCACTCTCTCCAGCTCTTTGCGAGACTTTTGCTCTTCTTCCAGAAACTGCTTCATCCATTTATTCTCCTGTAAAAAAAAATAAATACATTCAAAAACAACACACACACACACATCACACACACACACACACACACAACACACACACACACACACACACACACACCCAATGGCAGCGTTACAGAACTTTATTTATTCTGCACAAAATATATAATTGGGAAAAACAAACTTTAGAAAAAAATATTATAAAACTGTTGTGATGGAGATTTAACGCCATTAACTGGCTTACATCTGTTTTGAAACCTCAATCTATACTGGAAACTTGGAAGTTGGATCAAAAGGAGGACATTTCCTTTGGATATAGGAGGGAAACAATTTATACTAACAGTACAACTGGATGATGCAGACTTGTGTTGCTCCTGTTAAACTAAATAAATATAATGACAATGTTGCTAAATACATGTTTTAAATGTAAAAAGTCCCATAGAAGTCGGAGTTACATTTTGTGGGGGAGAAAAGTGGGAAGAAAGTAAGGGAAACAAAAAAGTGTTTTTGTCACGTTTATTTGTATATGCGGCTGAATGTAATTAGTAAATTTGATTTTAAAAAACAAACAATGTAATCAGTTTTGGTTTTCTGGTATTCTCATGTATTGATATTTGCCTTTAAGCAAATCATATTTCGGTTGAGCTTTTGTCTATTACCACATCTGTAACCCCCCATAAATGTCAGCAAGCACAGCGGCAGCAATGAGAAGTAGGACACAACTATGTGGCTGACCTATGTACAAACACATACACATAATGGTGTAGAAGTGAGAGATGATTGCAAATATTTACCTTTTTCAGTTCATGAACCTCATCCTTTAAAGCATACACAGCATCAACCAGGCTCCTGAAAGAAAAACAAAGAAAATATGTTAAACTTTGCTGAACAATATTAATAGTTTTTTTTTTTCCTTCTCCTTTTCATTTAAAACATCTTTTGCATATCATGGTTATGCTGGCTTCCAATTCAAAGTCATTTTGTGTG